CCTCGAGCTACTCTTTGTTTACATTAATTATTTTGAATCAAGTGCCTAAATAGGTACACGATTTTTTCGTTCCAAGACTGCCGTAAGAAAAATAATAAAATTGATTGGATGCTCCCTATAAAACCTTCAACCTTCTCAAAATGTATCAAGTTGGTAACATCAATATACATTTCCGTCCCACAAATCCTTTTACTATTTCATCACAAAAGTTTCCGCAATTTCGTCACGTAGAGGACATCAATCGGTTTGCTCAGCAGGCCGCTTATATTGCAACAATATTTCTCTGAACGATTGGCACATTTGTTACTATTTTACAATGAAATTGATGCGTTTAAACTGAAGATTCTTTTAGTTCGTTGTTGCTCGCGTGAACAAGAGAATAGAATGCAATCAGTCGAAATCGCAAAACTTGACTCTAACCATGTAGCTGAAAATCACAGATCTGAGTTTAGGAAAAACGAGTTTGGCGTTCCACAAGGAAGTATCCTGTGACCTCTTCTATTCTTGATCTATATTAATAATCTCCCAAATGTGACCAAGTATCGATGTATTCTATTCGCTGATGATATATCTATAATGGTGACAACTGATAAAAAACTAACATTAAATGACCACAAAAAAGACATCAGTGAAACTATATTTCAAATAATTAATTGGCTTAGAAATAATAATTTAATTATTAATATTGACAAAAGGAACTTAATTAACTTTAATAATATACAAAATTTGACATTGACTATAAATTATGAAGGACAAATACTTAAAAATACAATAACCATTGCCAGATATAAAAAGGCGTTCATTGCACAAAAAAAGTGTGTTAGAGCTATATGTGGTACTGTACCTAACGATCCATGTCAGCCCTTGTTTAAATCCTTGAAAATTTTGACACTTTCTTTGTCTATATATTTTTGAAACGGCGAAATTTGTAAAAAATAATATGTATCATTTCACACAAGCCAAAGGCTTTTACAAACGAGGCACTAGAAATAGAAATAGGTTGGTTTCCACTGTAATACCCAAGAGCGTGAGATTCCAAAATAATTGCTATTGGATGTGTATGACAGTATATAATAAGATACCACGAGAAATTCAAGACCTACCTGTTATTAAATTTAAAAGAGAGTTATACAGATGGCTCAGTGAAAAGGCTTTATATACTGTAGAGGAATATTTGAACTGCGATATGTGGTAGCGGCTGGACTGATGTGGATTTGCTGGACCAATTGTAAAATATTTATTAAGTACCTATTACCTATTTATTGATTAATTGTTGACATTTTATTATTTTAGACATTTTACTCATAAATATTACTATCGCATTATTTTATATTTGTAAGATTTGCATGCCAATAATAATGGCTGATTAAGCGGATGTTTAATTATTACCACCATCTTCAGTGTACCTTAAACAAAAGCAAATAAATAAATATTAATATATATAACAATATTATTTTTCGTACAGATTGACAAAAATACTACACAGTAAATAAAACCAGTTTTTTTGCCTTAAATATTAACTGAAAGACGTTAAAATTAAAATTTTTCGTCACCCATATTTTGCTCTTTTAAAATCATCATCTTTATCGTTATTACAGTCCTTAACAATTCATACATAGGCCTCCCCCAAGGAAGCATGATCGTGAGCCACCTGCATTCATCGACTTCCTGCATATCTTATCAGATCGTCACTCAATGTATTGGGAGGCCACCCAACATTTCGCCTACCAGTACGAGGGTGCTAGACGAAAATCTTTCTTGCCTATTTGTTCGTAGTTCTTCTAGCTATATGGCCGACCTATAACTACGTCAGCTTACTAATCGGAGGATGACTTGTAGATCTGAGACTTGGTCCTTCCCTGCTGGCCGTATAAGGAAGGGCTTTTGATATATGGCATGCAACTTAAATTTAAGACATGGGTAGAATTATAATAAAACAAAAGAACACTTTAAGCAATAAAATAATCTTAGGGATATTTTAAAATTAACAAATCAACATGTTTATTCAAATCTTGCTTTTATTTATAGAACTACCAACTATACCTAACTACTGCTAACAAATTATAACTAATCGGCTTAGAATATCAAAAATGATTAATATCAAAAAAACAGTTTAGTAAATGCTTTTTCAGATAATAAAATCTCGTTTTCGCTATGCTCATAAGAAATACCAGCGTTGAAGATGAGATGAAGATGAGCAAAATGTCTGGTGTAGCAATTGTCACTCCTCATGCAAAGCGTAATTCTTAAGTCAAATACTCACTTTAGTGAAAACGGATCTTAAGTGGATAAAAATTAAAAAAAAGACAAATATTCCCTCGTTCTTAATACACGTCTAATGCATGTATGACTTGCGGCTAACTATTACAACGATGCATGCGGAAATCAAATTGCGCTGGGGGCTGAAACCACTAACTCCCAACATTTTAACCCCCGAGGATGATGATGAAGTGGTTTTGAACAGCCTGATAGCTATTCGAGGGTGCTAAAAGCAGTAAGTAATGTGACGTGCAAAACAGGACGTGCAAAAAAGTCGTGCGTAAAGCAAAGCGAGAGTGGCGCTCCGTTATTCCGAAAAACGATCTCTTTTTATTTTAACAGATAGGAGTCCGACATAACCTTTCAGTGGCCCTGCAGTGAAATGTGTTAATGAGGATTTCCCTACCATTAAGAAGATGCTTCGGCACCTTTCGCCTACCTGTTTAATATTGAAAATAACAAGAAAATATTTTAGCATTTCCTGCCTTACTTTCATAAGGCATGAAATATCGTAAGCATCGTTTTGATTCGTTTTGCACGAAAGGGTTGGCTTGACCAGGCAAGGACCTCGCTCTCACAGAATACCAGCGTAAAATAGCAGCTTGATGCTCCTGTGTTTCGTATGGTGAGTGTAGAAAACCGCACACCGGTTTTATTCGAGTTGAGGCATTCCATCTTAGTCCTCAGAAGTGAAAACGCATCTGCATTTTGATTCTTAATCGAGGTTAAACGTGGATGTCAGGTGGACAGTGTGCTCGTTTGTCACCCTAATTCTGTAAATAAAAAAATATCAAAAGTTAGGGGAAAACCTTTGCCACCCTCCCTTGTTTTTTCTACTTGCACCTTTTTATTTATCCTTAAGTCATGTTATTGTTGCGCGCCTAAGTTGGCATCATGTTTTGTCAGGGACGAGAGCGGGAGGAACTTTCCAGAAAATGACATGCGAAGCGACATGAGACAAGGGAAGCTTCGGAGCGGAATAAAGTTAATCAGTGTGATTAATTATAGGTGTTTTAAGTTTAATTAGTGTAAAGTGAATTAAAAAGTTAATTTTGGTAACTCTATCGGCAATTTTTATTGTCACGAACCTCAAGCTCGTAACATTATAAATAGAAACGTCTTATATGTATCAGTATATTAATGTATTATAAATATTGACGATGATATTTTTGGTACAATAACGGGGAGAGTGAGGGTAAGCGTCTAATGGAAGCATCAAACTGCTAGTGGTTAGTCCCTGGGCTACCTTATCTCCCACACCCGTGTGACGTCACAAACATTGATCTCCATTATTATATATTATCATCACATCTGCTTATACTACTAAAAATAAAACAATGCAAAAATTTTAAAATAAAACTTTTGATATATTATTATATTTCTTGTTAAATTTTTACTCCTTTTTCACGTACTAGTAGATCCATACTGCAGTTATATTATGGTTGTAGCACGAATGGGTGGGCTTGATCGAGGAAGGGACAACACACAACAAACAAACAAACAACTTTCTGTGGCTTGTAATGTACAAATGTAGCATCAAAACAGGAAGATTGCACTCAAGACTAAGGTTGAAGCTATGTTTTATGGTCGTTACCAACACGGTGTCAAACTTGACTGAATGCAGAGCACGAGCACATCTTAATTTTTATAATATAATAATAATAATAATAAGTGATAAAGGACTTACCCCTCTATCCTTAGCTAACGAGCAATGGCAAGACCCGGCAGTACAGAGCATTTCCGACCGGGAGACCGTATGGAAGGAGAAGGAGCTCCACGGGAGGTACTACAGGGCTCTACATGAGCCTCACGTAGATACAGCCGCCTCCCTCAACTGGCTACGTTTCGGTGACCTCTTCGGGGAAACCGAGGGTTTTGTCTGTGCAATACAGGATCAGGTTATTAAGACCAACAACCATCGGAGATACATCCTAAAGGATGGCACTGTCGACGTCTGTCGAGCTTGTCGCCATCCCGGGGAGTCACTTAGGCATATCATCTCCGGTTGTTCGGCGCTTTCTAACTCTGAGTACTTGCACAGGCACAACCTAATAGCCAGAATTCTACACCAGGAGCTCGCTTTGAAATACGGTCTCGTGGACCGAAAATTGCCGTATTACAAGTACTTGCCGGAAGCCGTGCCCGAAAATGACCGCGCCAGGCTTTACTGGGACCGGGCCATCATCACAGACAGGACTATTCTTGCGAATAAGCCTGATATTGTGCTGATGGACCGGGCACAGTCAAGGATATTTTTGATCGACATTACCATTCCGTATGACGAGAACCTCGTGAAAGCCGAAACAGAGAAACGAACAAAATATCTGGACCTGGCTCACGAGGTGACCGACACGTGCAGGGGGGATGCCGACCGAAATTATCCCTGTAGTCGTCTCTGCGAATGGGCTAATCCCAGTCAGCCTCTCGGGTCATCTGAGGCGACTGGGACTCCGTGACGGACCGCTCCGGGCTCAAATGCAGAAGGCGGTGCTCCTCGATACCGCCCGCATCGTCCGCCGGTTTCTTTCCCTTTCCCCCTAAACCTCGGACGTTTGGTCTCCCCCTGCCAAGCGCTCCCATCTGGTTGGATCTTATTTATTTATGTAGTTTTTTGTGTTTATTTTATTTTATTGATATTTATGTATATTTATCTTTTCATTTTAATTTATAATTATATATTTATAGAACGCAACCAGGTGAGAAAATTATATAGATACCCCAATAAATATCGGCAGACTGATATGCTTCAGGTCAGGCAATACAAGGCCAAGGATTGTGCGCACCGTCAGGATGGCGTTTGCTGGGACAAATGTTCGATTAGTTTGTCCCAGCCGGATATAACGCAAAAACTGACGGAGCGCATAGACGACCTGAAGCAAAGAATCGCTACTTGGGGAAAGCGGATTCGGCGATATACCGAGAGGTCGACACGGTTCAACCAGAATCGTCTCTTCCAGAGTGATCAGAAGAGGCTCTATAAATCATTGGAGCGACCAATAGTAAGTGGAACGGGCCCAGCACCAAATCAGGCCGACACGGTCGCATTCTGGCGCAGCCTGTGGTCAGAGCCCGTAAACCACAACGAGGGCCCTTGGACGGAAGTTGTGGCGAGTCAGTGTGCGAGTATTACGCCCATGGACCCCGTCATCATAACGCCGGATGACGTAGCTGAGGCGGTCCGTAGGGCCCTGAACTGGAAAAGTCCGGGGCTTGACGGGCGGTATCACTACTGGCTGAAGGGGTTCAAGGTATGTCACTCTGTGCTCGCCCGACAGTTTCAAGAGGCTCTCAACCAGAAGTCGCTCCCAAGCCTCTTCACTACTGGGATCACTCATTTGGTTCCTAAAGATCAGGATGCCACAGACCCAAGCAAATACCGCCCCATCACGTGTCTACCGACAATATACAAGACACTAACATCCATTTTGAGCGCGAGAATCGCTCGTCACCTGGACTCAAATCAGGTGATGTCGCGCGCTCAAAATGGATGTCGAGGCGGTGGTCGTGGAACCAAGGAACCACTCCTCATTGACGCGGTCATTGGCAAAGTGGTGAAACGCAACCGTCGGAACTTCTCTGCCGCCTGGATAGATTACAGAAAGGAATTTGACTCGGTGCGCCATACATGGCTAAAGAGGGTCCTCGAGCTGTACAAGATTGACTGTACAGTTCGAGACTTTCTCGAGCAGTGTATGGGGCAGTGGAGTACGATCCTCTGTCATCTAGGCGAGCGCATGACGGCTGAGGAAAGCCGCATAAGGATAAAAGGGGTATATTCCAGGGCGACTGTCTGAGTCCAATCTGGTTCTGCATCTCTTTGAACCATCTCAGTACTTTACTGGAGGGCTCCGGGAGGGGGATTTCAGCTTCGGAAAGGAGGTACAAAAGTGACCCACCTTTTCTATATGGATGACCTCAAATTATTCGCCTCCAGTCGGGGCCTGGGCGAAGCCATCTTATGGAATTGCTAAACATCACTTGTGAATTTAGCAATTCTATTAGAATGGAGCTGGGGACGGATAAGTGTGCGGTCCTCCATGTTGAAAGGGGAAGGGTTGCTAACTCTGAGGGCATAGACTTATCTATGCCCGTCAACTTAAGGGCCCTTTCCGAGGCTGAAACATACCGATACCTGGGTATGTCACAGAACATCGGTATCGATGAGGCTGGTATGAAACAGTCAGTTTACGACGTGTTTTATGCACGCTTTTTTTATTTATTTTTTTTTATAGAAGAGGGGGCAAACGAGCATGTGGCTCACCTGATGTTAAGTGACTACCGCCGCCCATGATCAACCGCAACACCAGGGGAATTGCAGGTGCGTTGACGCTTGACCAAAGTGCTTAACAGCCTTTTGTCAGGTGTGAATAAGACACATGCATATAACGGTTGGGTAATGCCTGTCCTCATGTATACCTTTGGCATACTCAGGTGGAGTCAGACTGAACTTAACACCCTAGATAGAAAAGTCCGCACTACAATGACGTCCCATAGGATGCATCATCCGAGATCGTCGGTAAAGAGGCTGTAATTGCCGCGAAAGCATGGTAGGCGTGGCTTCCTGAGCGCGCTCACCATGCATAATCACGAAGTGTGCAGCCTCCGTCATTACTTCCGTTGATCCGGATCGGATGATCCATTCTATAATCACGTCATTTCTCACTAGTGATAAAGGACTTACCCCTCTATCCTTAGCCAACGAGCAATGGCAAGACCCGGCAGTACAGAGCATTTCTGACTGGGAGACCGTATGGAAGGAGAAGGAGCTCCACGGGAGGTACTACAGGGCTCTACATGAGCCTCACGTAGATACAGCCGCCTCCCTCAATTGGTTACGTTTCGGTGACCTCTTCGGGGAAACCGAGGGTTTTGTCTGTGCAATACAGGATGAGGTTATTAAGACCAACAACTGTCGGAGATACATCCTAAAGGATGGCACTGTCGACGTCTGTCGAGCTTGCTTTCTAACTCTGAGTACTTGCACAGGCACAACCTAGTAGCCAGAAATACTCACACCAGGAGCTCGCTCTGAAATACGGTCTCGTGGACCGAAAATTGCCGTATTACAAGTACTTGCCGGAAGCCGTGCCCGAAAATGACCGCGCCAGGCTTTACTGGGACCGGGCCATCATCACAGACAGGACTATTCTTGCGAATAAGCCTGATATTGTGCTGATGGACCGGGCACAGTCAAGGATATTTTTGATCGACATTACCATTCCGTATGACGAGAACCTCGTGAAAGCCGAAACAGAGAAACGAACAAAATATCTGGACCTGGCTCACGAGGTGACCGACACGTGCAGGGGGGGATGCCGACCGAAATTATTCCTGTAGTCGTCTCTACGAACGGGCTAATCCCAGTCAGCCTCTCGGGTCATCTGGGGCGACTGGGACTCCGTGACGGACCGCTCCGGGCTCAAATGCAGAAGGTGGTGCTCCTCGATACCGCCCGCATCTTCTGCCGGTTTCTTTCCCTTTCCCCCTAACCCTCGGCCGTTTGGTCTCCCCTGCAGAGGACTCCCATCTGGTTGGATTTTATTTATTTATGTAGTTTTTGTATTTATGTTATTTTATTGATATTTATGTATATTTATCTTTTCATTTTAACTTATAATTATATATTTATAGAACCCAACCAGGTGAGAAAATTATATAGATACCCCAATAATAATAATCTTTATTTGCAAGAATATGGTTGTACAATGGTGTTCGAGTATAATTTGTTCTACATATTCTCCCCGTAACTCATACAACAATACTTATCGATTATTTAACAACACAAATTTTTTTAACATTACTCAGTTGATTTGATGATAATTAATTATGCAACAGTGTCAGAAAAATAAATTGCCAATAAGATGTATAAGTATTATTATAGCTCAATGTCAAATATTAATGTTCTTATGTCAGTAAATATAATGTCAGTTATAAATGTTACATATCGAATTGTCATTAATTTATTTCAATATTTATATCAAATTTATTAATTAAATAAAAAAAATTATAAAAATGACATAATTAAAACATTGTGTCAAATTATAAAATGTATCATCTACTTAACTGCAAAGAAGTCTTTAATTGAGTAAAAAGATTTCTGGATGAGCCATTTTTAGGTGAGTTTATTCTCATTGTTGGTAACCCTCTAATGGCTGTGTAATGAATGACACATTACGTAACAATTTTATGAAACAAAGCTGCAGGCAGGCATTAAAAATCTAGTTGGGACCCTTTTACCTATAATAGAATTGTCGCGAGCGCTATGAAATAAACACAGATTTTTTTGTCAAATATACACACCTCTAATATATCAGTCAGCGTTAGCAAATTGTTATTTTTAAATAAATTTGTACTCATATGTAACATTTTACTTTAAGATGTGAAAGATCGTTAGAATATGTAAGTAAATTTTACTTTTTCATAATTTGTGCAAACAACGTAAGCCATTCGTAATCTGCTGGGGCATTTTGTAATTTTTTTTTAATTGAATAAGGATGACCAACGAGCACACAGTCCATCTGATGCTAAGTTAATGCTGTGGTCCAAAGACACGAATGTCTAGCCCCCATTAAAATTTTGAATGCAGATGTATTGTCACTCGGCAAGGATGAATGTCTTTCAGTAATTAGTGGACTTAGCTATCAGCGTATTGTCGCTTGCATATTCAAATGCCGAAGTATAGCGGATTTTCGGCATTATGAATAATGTCAAAAGTAAGCTACGTAAGTAGATCTCAGCTGAAACAGTGAACTCAAACATGCGATACGTCGTCAATAAAAAAAATTCTTAAGCAAAGCTGCCACACATAAAAGATTACCTAATTATGCCCTCGAAAAATTACTAAAACAGTGGAAAAAGGAACAGAAGCAGGTGTAGGTTCATCATTGGCATTTTGAAGTGATGATGACCATGAAGACATAGCGGAATTGTCTTATTTAGTTGATTTTAGTACCTAATATTACTTAAATAAACGAAGAGGTCTTTAAATAAACGCATTTTGTCTTATTTCCTTATACATTTACAGCATACAACTTAACGGAATTTGGTTGATTTTAGAAAGCAGATTTTTATAAAATATAGCGCAATTTCGATAAGGGTTTAGTGCATCTTTTTTTCTTCATACAGCAACACTTATTTGACGAATAGCTTACCCATTTTTAATCAACTTTGTGTGTGTGCAATTTTTATTATGGTCACATTCTTAACATCTGTGTTAAAATTGTAGTCTTAATAAGAGCATTTTCTCAAGCAATGTATCATCAGAAAACCCTCTTCGATACAGTGTCAAAAATGAAATACTGGCATCGTTTTGTTGGCGGATTTGTAACAAATGAGCAGTTCTACGCAGTTAGTGTACGATACACGTATGTTGAAGTTTTAGGAAAAAGCCTGAGTGGTTTTAAAATAATATTATATTTATCATATATTCATCTTAACTGTACAAGTGCCTATTAAAGTCCACTGCTAAACATAAATCTCTCCATAGATTGCCTCATTTTAGGGGCATGTTTGCCATAGTTGCCACGCTTTTATTTTTATTTTTAGTCATTATCAGAAAGACGCTGCTACTCATCTCCTGATTCGTTTCCTCTGTCGCCTCTTACGACCCACGGAGTGTGTAGTGTAGTGGATATTCTTACACCACCGCTTCACGGTCAAGCGACCAAATTCTTTTGTATAATAATTGTAGTACAAAATGGCAATCATTATTACCACGTTTCTAGTGTTGAGTGTAGTTCTAGTCCTGAGCTATATTTTATATCACCTTTTGCCAAACTTTTGGTGAATTTTTTTTTTTAAATTTATATAGAACCACTCCTGAAATATAATAAAAACTCTATTTAGTAAGAAGAGAATCATCATAATAGGCCCACAATTAACGGAGAAATCAGTACATATACATAAAAGATACATAAAGTCAAACACAGAAATTCCTCCTCTTTGTAATCGGCAAGAAAGAACGCAAATGATGGCATATGTCTTTTACGCCTACTTATGCCTTTAGGCGTGCTTTACCAGTCATCGCGTAAGTAATTTTACAAAATTCGTCTCTAAACTTCGTGTTCAGTTTTCGTACCATCAAAAAATTTTTTCTGGAAAAAGTAATAATAAAAAATTGGTGTACTTGGTGTGCACAACTTTCGATCACCAACCTGACATTGGAAGTCGTTTTTTATAACTTTTTTGAATTATGCTCGTACCATAAAATAATAATATAATGCACACCAAGTACACCTTTTTTTATTATTACTTTTTCCAGTTTTTTTTTTCGAATCTAAAACGGTTATGTACTTGTTTTTTTTTGTTTTATAGTTATTTGTAAAAATGTAATTATACTTTTTGTAATTATAGTTCAAAGTGTACTTGGCGCGATGTTTTACTGTGAAACTGTTTTTGTTCAAATTTCATATCTTTTTGTAAAGTAAACATTTTCGTTTATTTTTTTCAAACATTGCGAACTGCATACCCGAGAAACACGTCAAGGTCAAGAAATGCAACCCTAAAATAACTTGCACTTATACGTTAAAATGAGTAGATTTAAAAAAAAGACTTTAATCAATCTATCTTATATTTTGTATAAAATATAAATCAATTTTATTTTACTACTTTAAGAAGTTGAATAAAACTAAATTTACGGATTTTATCGCGTTTATTTCACTACTTTTACTTATTTTTAATTCCCGACGTTTCGGGTGCTTTACAGCAACCATGGTCACGGGGGGGGACTGAGATGTTTGACGTCCCAATGTCATAGTTAGTCCGGCTACCTTCAGTTTTTGAATATTAATTTTTTGGTCCGATTTACACAAGACGCGCTTATAGTATCATGAAGTCTTGCAGTGGTATGCTTAGGTTTGGGTTTAATTTTGTTAATTATAGGATCCCAAGCAGGTGGCAGCACCCATCCATCTTCTCTATTGAAATTTGGATGTTTTTTAATTTCAATAGCCTCGCGTATCATCCTTGGTAGGAATCGGTGTTCTTTTGCGAGAATTTGTGGTTTATCAAAACGAATGTAATGGTGGGGACGATTTTGAACATGGTCGCAGACTGCAGACTTCCCGGAGCGTCGGTGCTTCATGTCAGCTATATGTTCTTTCACGCGGGTTTTTATGGATCTTTTTGTTTGACCTATGTAAGAGAGACCACATTCACAATCTAACTTGTACACTCCTGCATCTTGTAGAGGGATATTACACTTGACGGATGGTAAAAATTGACTAATCTTCTTCGGCGGCTGTAGTATGTTTTAATGGAAGCTCGCTTCAAGATGTAGGCACACGCTCGACTGTGGCCGGCTTCACTCGGTCACTGTGACGTAGGCGCGGGACCCGAAGCTTGTTGTCTTGCAATACTTGCTTGACGTGCTGAAGTTCGGCGGCCAGATGTTTTCTGTCACAGATCCCTCGTGTCTCTGAAACAAAGATTTACCCACGGTAGCTAACTGTGAAGGATGATGGTGAGATTCACCATTTAAATATCGGTTGGTATGGGTCTTTTTTCTATACACAGTGTGACCAATTGTGTTATTAGGATTTCGAATGACTAAAACATCTAAGAAAGCTAAAGAATTATTTGCCTCTAACTCCATTGTGAATTGTATTTTAGAGTTTATAGAGTTAAGGTGGTTTAAAAATGCAGTTACTTTGTCAGATGGTAAAATTGTGAAAGTGTCGTCTACGTACCGCTTGTATAATCTTGGATTTACAGGAGCAGTAAGAAGGACTTTCTCCTCGAAGTCCTCCATGAATATGTCAGCGACTATGGGAGATACAGGTGAGCCCATCGCCACACCATCTACTTGCTTGTAGAACTCCTCCTTCCACAATAGATAGCCAGATGTGAGGCAGTGTTTGAGTAATACTGCATATTCAGCAGGCATGTTATTATATTCTAGCTTCCTAGTTACAATTGATATGCAGTCTTCAATAGGTAGGCATGTGAATAGTGACTGAACATCAAAACTGACCATAGTTTCATTGTCAGCGAGATGTAGGTCTTTTATCTCACTAACAAAATGGTATGAATCGTTTGTGTGTGCTCTGGTATGTCCTCTCAGTGGTGACAGTACTTTTGCCAAGTGTTGTGCCTGCTTATAAGTTGGTGAATCGATCTGGCTCACTATTGGACGTAGTGGAGCGTTTGGTTTGTGTATCTTTGGTAACCCATACAACCTCGGTGGTTTGGTACATGATGGTATTAGCGAATTCACGTCGAGATTTAATTTTTCGGAGTGTTTCTTTATTAAATCGCTAGTTGCTTTAAGCGTGTTAATTGTGGGGTCTGTTTTGACCTTTTTGTATGTACTTTCGTCCGATAAAAGCTGTAGTATTTTGAAATTATACTCTGACGTGTCCATTATTACCGTAGCATTTCCTTTATCCGCGCGGAGAATCGTTAGATCTGGTCAGTTCCGTAAGTTAATCAACGCTGTAAATTCGTCTTTAGGAAGGTTTGGTTTCGGCACTGAACTACGACGTAACAAGGACGAAATATCTTGACGTATAGCCTCCAAATCTTCCTTACCAATATTATTTTTAAACAGACAATCCTCAACGCTGCAGATAATTTCTTCGTACGGGATTTTTCGCGGTGTTAATGCGAAATTCATTCCCTTCGCTAACACCTTTATTGTTGGTTCGTCCAGTGTATGTTTTGACAGATTATACACCGTGCGTTGTTTATTGTTTGCGTCTGTGGTCAACGGTTGTGTTTCGTTCTGACTTTGACTTAGATGGTTGGCATTTGATTTGATCGTTAATTTTTGGTATTTTTCTATTTTTTTATTTTTGCATTCATTGTATTTTGCTGTTTCTCGTTTGTATAAAGTTTCGATGCAATTATTAAAATCAAATGTCGTTAAAACTGTATTTAGTTCACTGAACAAATTGTCTATGGTGGTTGTTTATGAAATGTAAATCGAACCGTTTCTGCTGAATCACCGTTCGTAACAACTTTTTTACTCGCCTGATTTAAGATCTTTGCGCTTCCTCGAATGTCCTCCTTTGTTGATATTTTGACACACGTAGGAATGAGATTATGGTCTCTGCATCTCTTCAAAAAATTTAAAGATGTTATATATCTAGCGCACTTGATTTTAAGATCTTCTAATCTGCGAATTTTATTTGATATTACCAGTCCGTACTGGTTCACATAATGATTTCTTAAATTTACGCGAACACTACACATTGAATAAAACTAAATTTACGGATTTTATCGCGTTTATTTCACTACTTTTACTTATTTTTAATTCCCGACGTTTCGGGTGCTTTACAGCAACCATGGTCACGGGGGGGACTGAGATGTTTGACGTCCCAATGTCATAGTTAGTCCGGCTACCTTCAGTTTTTGAATATTAATTTTTGGTCCGATTTACGCAAAA